TAAATATCTAGTTTACACTTCAGTGGTTCGGGGTCCCTGACTTTATTAAGGTGGAGACTAGAGCCCAACTACTTTCCGGCCCCACCAACGGTCCAGATCACGTGCCACAGAACTCACTGACCCAGATTTCTCTTCAGATCAATCGGACGGTAAACGAACATCCACGCGGTAAAATCTTATCGGCAGAGGAACGGTCCAGAAAATTCCTCCTTTTCCATGCATTGTTTTCAGGATTATTATAAATATATATATTTTTTGTACCCTTCTCTCCCCTGCAAACTCCCCCTTCGTCTATTCATACTTCAAATCCCAAAATTTTTCTGATTAATCGGACCCTAAATTTCTGTTAAGATTTCTGCTTTTAATTGTCCTTTTCGTGTTCTAGTACTCTTTCTTTTTATATATCTTCAAAAAGAACTGGCAGTTATATAGGCAGCATAAATATCAGTTAATTCAGTTATCAGTAGTTGTTTTTGAGTATTGAGTTGGATGGCGGATTCAGACAACGACAACGAGAAAAGCAGCGAGACTTCGCCGAGAGAACAAGATAGGTTTTTACCGATAGCCAACGTAAGCAGGATCATGAAGAAGGCGTTACCTGGGAACGCGAAGATCTCCAAGGATGCTAAAGAGACGGTCCAAGAATGTGTGTCGGAGTTCATCAGCTTCATCACGGGGGAGGCGTCGGATAAGTGCCAGAGGGAGAAGAGGAAGACGATAAACGGTGATGATCTTTTGTGGGCCATGACGACGTTGGGGTTTGAGGAGTATGTGGAGCCGTTGAAGGTTTATCTGCAGAAGTTTAGGGAGATGGAGGGAGAAAAGACGGCACCAGGAAGGCAGGCGGAGAGAGAAGGTGGTGATGTGAGTGTGGTGAACGGTGGTCTTGGTGGTGGTGGGGGGATGCAGTCAAGCGTGATGTTGATGGGGCGTCAAGGGCTTATGTATGGATCTGGGAGCGCCGGAGCATCTTCTGGTAGGTCTAGGTAGGATATTGATCTCTACAAATACTTAAATAATTAATAAGAGGGATTTTAGGGCACATTAAAGAGGAAGAGTGAGTATGAAAATATATATTTGGAGTGTCTCCACTTATGTTTTATTTTTCTTTTTCTTTTACTTTATATATATATATATATATATATTTGGTTGTAATTAGTTATATTTGTGAAGAGTCAGGGAAGAAAATACAGCACTCTCCTCAGTATGTCTTTGATAAGCGGACCGTTGTATAATTAATTAGCAAATTCAATAGTATTTTATATTACCAAATTCAATCTTTGTTGAGATTGGAACTCAATTCACTCTTCTCTAAGGTGGGATAACCAATTCAACTCAGGCACAGGGTCAGGATGCAAGTTGCATTGACTATAATTTCAGTTGGTTTGGCAAAACTTACTTGGAAAATGAATTATTGACAATAAAATCTGATAGCATGCATGGCATAATTGTTGTTAATTTTTTAAAATTTAATGAGAGGTATAAGTATGTATATATCTACTCGTTTGATATTATATAAATATTGTAAGATTTATAATGAAAATTTCATTGTTAACAAATTGAATTGAACCTATTTTGTATGTTAAAATGGTACTTATTTTATAAAATAAACAGCTACTTATTTGGATAAAAATAAATTGATTAGTTAGGTAAAACTAAAAATCGTAGAAGCTTAAAATAGATTAACTAATAGTTGGCAAAAACTACCAATGAGGGGTTGGATCAAGTGGTAAACGGCTTGTTTTAGTTTAAGTAAGATCTCGAGTTCGAAACCTTGTGTATGCAATAGCTTCCATTGGGAAACTCACCCACCATTTCCAGGTGCACGACGCAAGTCGATCCGGATTAGTCGGGGCAAAGTCTCGGATACCAGACGAGAAACAAAAAAAAAAAAATTGTTGGCAAAAACTTACTTTTAATCTCTCACCTTATCAAGTTTGAAAATTTTAACTATTTACCTTATATTATGACACTTTTAATCTCTCACCTTATTAGATTTATAAGCTTTAACCTTTTACTTATTAAAATCGAAAAAAAATAACCCTTACTTTATATTGATTGTTAACTTTGTTAGTCAAAAGTGGATTTTTATTAACTAATAATCAATTAATAACTAATTAACAGAATTAATAAAATATTATAAAATTAGTTTTGTTAACTTTGTTAACTGAAAAAAAGTTTTTGATAGTTAACAGTTAACTAACAAAACTAATAAAATATCACAAAATGAGAGCTATTTTCTTCAATTTTAATAGGTGAAGGGTTAAAAGTGTTATACTATAAAGTGAAGGATTAAAACATATAAATTTAAGTAAGATGAAAGGTTAAAAATAGTATAATATAAAGTAAGAACTAAAACCTTTAAATTTAACAAAATGAAGGAGTAAAAGTAGACTTTTACCCTCATAATTTTATGTTTGAATTATAAAAAAGAGTGCTTTTCCTTCTTTTTAGTTGAGACAAAGAATTAAATCCTGTTACTGATAATTGAGACTAAGAATTAAATCTTGTTGGAGTGCTGACAACTCTATCATCATTACTGGTGGTGTTCGAATGTAAATGTGCTAAAAAGACAATTAGGTTGGTCAAAATATGACCGAAAGGACATTACCTTTTAGGAAAGAAAATGGGGTTTAAAAGAAATCAACTTCTCGAGGATTATCTTAAAGGCTCATGATTTCGCCTTTGATTTAAATTTCTTTTAATAATTTGTATGTATTTTTAAATATATATAATATTATTTTCTCATATCGTTCAAAAAAGTCATTCATCCAATGATACGTGGAGTTGTCCGTAAAGAAAGGTTGAAAATTTTTTTTTTTAAAGCAACTCACTGTAACTTTTGTTATACTCACTAAATATACTCTCTTATTGCCATTGTTAATTTTGTCAAAGGTCATTGAAATTGTCAAATTTTATTTTAATTTAATTGATAAAAATAATTTATAA